AAACGTTTGTTACACTGTGTCAGCATGCGTACACAAAGTACATATTATTCGAACTGAATCGTTGCATCGCCCCTTCAAATAAGCACCTTATAAAATCATGTCTGGTGTTTGAGCTCTCTACATCTTGTATAATAATACAAGAAGACATGTTTTCATACAACACCAGACATATATTCGTAATGTGTGCTCACCCGAGGCACAATGGTGTGCATGTCAGGCCAGTTTAGTGTGCCGTGGTGTAAACATTAGACTGGTCTGGTGTGGCGTAGTGGCACAATACGCTAGAATGTCATCAAGCCATTCTAGCGTGCTGCGGTGTGCACATCAGACCAGCCTATTATGTTTTGGTGTGCACATTGGACCACACTAGGATGGTGGGATGGGCACACCAAACCAGAAAACGTATTCTGGTTCGGACAACAGAACACGTTAGGCTGGTTTGATGTACGCACCAGAACACACACCAGGCCGGTCTGATGTTTACATAAGAAAACACTAGGGCACACCAAACCGGTCTGGTGGATTTTTCAATAGGGTGGGCAGTACTTTGAGAGCTTGGATCTCCTGAAGACCGTTGAGGATCTCAACTCGGTCTTCAGAGAATGCAGCCTTTGTCTCTCCAAGTGGACTGTACGAGTTCAAGGTGATTTCATTTGGACTATGCACGTCACTAGCAACTTTCCAGTGTGTCATGAACACTGTGTTGCCAGGATTTAAATGGCAAAGCTATCGCGTCTACCTTGAACCGTCGTAGTGTTCTCAAGAAACTTCGACGGGCAGTTGCGACGACTCCGAAAATTTCTCCCAGCCATACAGACCGCCGGACTCACCCTCAGGCCGTTAAAATGCCAGTTCGCCTACGATTAACTGAAGTTCTTAGGCCACGTGGCTAGTTAGGAATGCGTCCACCCAGACCCCGAGGAGGCTCACGCCGTCGCCGCATTTTCAGCGCCGACAGACAAGAGAGCAATGCGAAGATTCCTTGGAATTTTTGCTGACTATTGACGTTTCGTTCGGGATTTCACAAGGATTTGCGCGCCACTCAAAACTTCGCGAAGGACGCCGAGAAGTTCAAAAATACCGAGGAGCAGCAGCAGGCATTCGAAGAGCTAAAGCGAAGACTCCTGACTCTTCCTGCTCTTCGATACTTTGATCAGGATGCGGAAACCGAGGTTCAGACGGACGCTAGTAATGCAGGACTTGGAGTGGTACTGGTTCAAGTGCAAGAAGGCACCAAAAGAGTCATCGCCTACGCAAGTTGGACACTGTCCAAGGAAGGGAGAAATTACTCCACAAATGAAACAGATTGTATTGCGGTCCTGTGGGCAATCACGAAGTTCCGCCTGTACTTGCACGGGAGCCCGTTCTGCGCAGTCGCAGACCATCACTCGCTCTGCTGGCTTGCCAAACTCAAAGACTCTTCAAGACGCCTCGCTCGATGGAGTTTCTGACTACAACAGTTCAGCATGACTGCACTCTACAAGTCAGGCCGCAAGCACAGTGACGCCGACTGCCTTTCCAGGTCTACTGTCAAAACCCTTTCCGTCGGTAGCGACGACAATTTCGACGAGTGCTTCGTAGGAGCAATGAACACCGACGACACGGCACGACGTCAACGAGGCGGTCTCAAGTTGTGCGCATCAATCAAGCACCTGGAAAAGCGCGGGAGTACCGTGCCACGTGTTTTCTCACGTGCCCTGACGACCTTCGCCATTCGACAAGGTGTGCTCTCCAAGAAAACTTCGGGGACAACAACTCGCCGTGGCTGCTGGTTATCCCGAACGACATCCGAGAGGAGATCTTTCAAGCATGTCGGGACGACCCGAAATTCAGACACCTTTGTTACGGCCGTACACTGGCCCGTATTCGTGAAAAGTGTTACTGTCAAGACCGGCTACAACGAAGTCAACGAGAATCGTAAATCACTTTGCTATATCCGACATTTTGTCATAACCGAATTCGGTTAACGAAGTGCGAAAGGGGATTGGGAATCCTGTTTGCTTTGCTGTAACCGTTGTTTTGTTATAACCGACTTCTTTATAACCGGTCTCGACAGTACTGGCCCAAGCTTTCCAAAACCCCTCTACACTCGATTATGCCAGGAGTGCCAGCGACGCAAGAACCCGCCGACGAAGCCGTCAGGATATCCGTACAGACTTCCTGCGCTAACTGCACCGTTCCAGCAGATCGGAATAGATCTACTTGGTCGTTTTACACCGTCGACCATGGGAAACCGCTGAATAATCGTCGCCACAGATTATCTCAGGCGGTACGCAGACACGAACGCCCTTCTTTCAGTGACTCCTGTTGAAGTCGCGAAGTGTTTCATTGAGTCCGTCGTCCTCGGGCACGACGCTCCCCGATTTCTGATTACAGCTCGCGGATTATCGTTTATGGCACAGCTGACCCAAGAAATACAACGGCTCAGTCTCACTAGCCATCGTCGTACTACTGCATATCACCCGCAGATCAAAGAGCTGACGGAGCGACTCAACAAGACAATCGCCTACATGATCTCTGTGTGCGTCAACGTTGAGCAGAAGACGTGGGACGCGGTGTTGCGGTACGTCAAGTTCGCCTACAACATGGCAGTTCAATACATTACTGGATTTACACCTTTCCAGGTGGCACATGGTAGGAAGGTGACGACAATGGTTGACGCGATGCTGCCTTATGTCCCAACTGGCGATTAGAGCGACGACGCCCAGGTGATTGCTAAACGGGCCAAGAAGTCCGCCAGCTCGCCCGACTCCTGATGCAAGACCAGCAACGCGTAGACGCGAGCCACTACCACCTTCGTCGCAGGGACGTTCACTTCCAGCCCGGAGACAAGGTGTGGGTGTGGACACCCATCCGTCGCCGCGGCTTCAGTGAGAAACTGCTGAAACGGTACGTTGGACCATACAAGAGACATCGTCGCCTCGGAAAGATGAACAACAAGATGATTCCCTATGGGACAAGAACAGCATCACGCCGCCCACCACAACCTCAAGTCGTCCACGTCGTGCGCCTCAAGCATACAATAAGACAGTGAACTGTGATCCAGTGCAAAGCTTGATAGAACTCTGTTTTGCAGGCCTCTGTATTCTCCTAATTACATGTGGGCCTTGATCTGTTTCTTGTTTTTTTGTTTTTTTTTGTTTTTTTGCTTTCATGTGGTATTGAGACGATGCTCTTCTTAAAAGGGGGAGTAATGCTACGCGCGTCGGCAAGCGAGCGCATGCGTGGCCGAGTGGTTACCGCGCTTGTCTTTCGTGCGGAGTCCCAGGGTTTAATTTTTGGGAGTTACGTGTTTCTCATTTATTCTTTCAATTTAATATTCCCGTAAATTCAAAAACCCTGTTGCTTGTTCGAGGTTCGAATATTTTACGCGGCCAACCTTCTACGCCGATTGTTCCACAAGCCAACGCGCGCATAGATAAGAGACTCCGCGTGCGAGCTACAGTCAGTTTCGCCCCAGCGCTCGATCCTGCCGTTTCGCCGACATTGACGCGTCTGCGACACTAACCTTCCTTTTTGTGTGTGCACAAGTTCCCTCTATTAAACGTTCCGTTTATATAGTTATCCGCTCCATCATCATTTGCCGTTCGTGACAACCCGGACTAAGTGTCGTTCCAACTTAAATGTATATATCCTTCGTTTCCTCTCTCCCCTCCCGTGGGGCCGCCGTAAACTGCGCCGGGAGAGCTGGGGACCTCCGCGTGATACATATTCTTCACAGACGAACGATGACGGCCAGAGCCCCTCATACTGGGAAAGATCGGCACACTTTTGAGTATGCCGACGACCCAGCAGCCACAGCTGAGAGTAAGACAATCTGGAGATAGCACGTTGCCTCTGCCATTTAGGGTTGTCGAATTTTGAACACACTCTGGATTTGGCACTCAAAGAACGCTGTGACTCACAATTGCAACAAAAATGTTTATCGCCAATGTAAGTGTCTTTTGTCGCTACACACATAATCAGAAGCTCAAACTTACTTATCTGCTATGATCTTTGAAAATAACATGAACTTAGTTATTCCACTTTTTTGAGAGTGAATGTCTAGACTTTAAATATTACTTCTAAACATTGACCACCACCAAACTTAACTGTCGTGACAGGCTCGGTCGAAAAGAGGCGCTTGGAATCCTTGCGCTCAATCCTCAGGTTATTGTTTGTTTGAGAAAGCCTGTTTTTGTTTAAAACAAAAACAAATAAAGTTTATTTGTAGGTTATGTTTTAGGCGAACAAAAACGCATGACCAGTGCTTGAATATAGTGAACAATTGAAGGCATAACACAATCTCAGATTAGAAGTTTCGTGTTTTTAAAGCAGCTACTAACCGTACATTTTGACTAGCGCACGCAAGTCGAGTGATCAAAAGCAAAATCCCCCACATCGTGTTATCGCAAAGTCCACTTGTTTTAGCAGGCGACACACACCACCTATCGGCCGAACTCTCTCAGCATATAGGGCTCCGATGACAGCAGGATCGCAGCGCCAATGAACGGACTCAGCGACGGACGGAAACATTCCGCTCCTCCAGACCGAGGAGCATAGGTCACGTGGCTGTGAAGTCATGGCCCTATCGACCAATTAAAGTTCTTGCGTCAAGGCAGCTTTTCTGGCAAGCCACCGAGGCCGGAGCTATGCAAGGTCCTTAACCATATCGCGTTAAAAAAACATGTACGTGTTTCGCCGCATGGTACCTTATTTTTTCATCGACGAGCTCGCCGCTAAAATAAAATAAAATTACAAAAAAGAAGATTTGTCGGGATGTGGCGCAAATGCTGAACTCGGTTTAAACACATGTGGGACTTAAAAGCGCATTCTCTCCCTCTACCGAATAGGAAGAATAAAATAGAGCTCAATATCTTTCCTCCTTCCCCCGCGAGCTGCGAATCAGATTATTTCTTTTCAAAGCCACGAGACGAGCTCATCATTTGTTTTCTTGACCACGATATTCCGTTATAATCCGTGCCTCCTACGCGTCTCTACTTCTAGAGCCTGCTGTAGAGATGCTTTCGATCTGCGGTCGGGCAATGTTTAATCCTCTCCGCTTCATCACTAGAACAGCGAACAGAATAACACACTGCAAACGGTAAGTGCCATGACCTCTTCATATTGGTGGATTAAATGTTTAGTTTAGAAGGGGCAAGAAAAAAAAAAGCTTAAAAAGGTTATTTCTTAGATCGCGGTGCGGTCAGCCAAGCTAAGCAATACCTTCATATTTTGCCGAAATGCTCTACGTACTAAGGCGACATGTAAATGGGAAGGCGTCGGCTGAATAAAGCAATTGAAATGTTATAGGTCGCAATAAACGCATTCGCCTTCGCATTTTAAGATACCAAAGATCTTAGGTGTTAATTAACAAAGTAAAGGTTGAATGGCTCATATTTGCAGCATGCAAGGGTCATGAGTTTAGTTGGACATGCTGTGAACTTTTGTTTCGGGCTGAAGATGGAATATTTAATTATAACATCTAGAAGGGGAATTTTGACGGGTGCGATATCCACCTAATGATAAAAAGAGGCGCGAGGCCCCATGAAAGGATCTGGGACAGCTGACTGGCCTGCTTCATGCAGCGCCCCTAACGGTGCCCAAAATATTAATCGAGGAATTTGAATTTCGTTATTTTTGTGCACAAACTATTTAACGAGTGAAAGTGCGCAATCCATGCAGTTGAACAAGATATAGAGCCATACCCGTTTTTATATCAAAGGAATATGACAGTAGTTGCACTTTCAATATTGCAGAAACCTGAGTCAAAAGTTAAGAAAAGCTATGCTACATTTCAACACACCCGCTGCGGGCAGCGCGTGTGTTATCAATATAAAGATAAATATGGTGGCTCTACATGGGAGGGGGGGGGGGGGGGGAGTGTGACGAGCATCTGATGAGCTTTCATCATTAACCAGGCGACTCAACCACTCGTTTTATGCTGGCCTCTTCTATAGCCAGAGTTTTTTCTACAGGCAGGTCGAAGATCGCAAAAATGTAAGGGGCTTCTTAAGCTTACATTGGAATTTTCTCAAATTTCTTACCTAAACAAAAGCATGGAGTAATCTGAAATATACAGGGTGAAACAAGGAGACGGCAAGCTCTTTAAATCGACCGGAAAATTCGGTTTCTTAACCTATCGCGCTACGACTTCGAGTAGCGTTGCCCACAGATGGTGCATTTTTTTTTGTAAAATTTGCGAAGCGCGAACTTGCCTGAGGAAAAAGTAAAGAAAGAAAAAGGCTTAGCTCCCATGGAAAGACAGCGAAGCCACCGGTCTGCAAACAACACGGCGCCGTTTCGCACGGGAGACGAGAGATGGCGCAAGCGGTCGCGACGCCAAGAGCCGCCAACGAACAAGCAGACGACGCCGAGAGCCGGCCCTTTTGCAGACAAGGAACTGCAGCTCATGGCTGTTACCGCGCCTGTCTTTTTTGTTTCTGCGACTGTCGCCGCCTGCGGAACGCGCGCCGCTTTTGAGTCGAAAAGATCGTCTGCTAAAAAGGCCTGCTCTCGGCGCCGTATGCTCGTTCGTTGGTAGGGAGGCTCTAGTGAGGGTGGGCGCAACTCAAAACCTGGAGAGCGGTTGCAATTTAATGGCGGCGCCTGAGGGAGAGGATTCGAGAAAGGATATGTTCCAATGTTGCCTGCACGAGAGCCGGCGCCCGCTCTGTTGCTACTCTGTTGCTCCATGCGCCTTTCCTCCTCTCGCCTCCCATTGCAAGCAACGAACGCCTTGGCGCAGCCTCTCTCGCTTCCTTCTCGCTCCGAGAATTGCAAATGTCGAGAGGAGCAAGCAGGGTTGCCAGACAAGCAGCAACGTCCAAGATGGCGCAATTTACCATTTTTCGCGTTAAAAAATACTTAACCTATCGCAACAAAACTGGTGGCTATGGAAAAGTAATCATTTATACCTTGTGTAAATTATTCAACCAGGTTAATGGGCCTCTATGACCTGAGTTAGGAAAGAAAACGACCCTTTGCACCATAGACTCCCAGCAAAATTGAGCAATTAAAGGGCGTCCATGTCCCGTGATGCCCGATCTAGGAGTTGCACCCACCCTCACTTGAGCCTCCCTATTCGTTGGCGGCGTTTGTTGCGCCATCTCTTGTCTCCCGTGAGAAACGGCGCCGTGTTGTTTGCAGACCGGTGGCGTCGCTGCGTTTCCATAGGCGATAAGCCTTTTTCTTTCTTTACTTTTTCCTCAGGTAAGTTCCGCTCTTCGCAAATTTTACCAAAAAAATGCACCATCTGTGGGCAACGCTGCACGAAGTCGTAGCGCGATAGGTTAAGAAACCGAATTTTCCGGTCGATTTAAAGAGCCTGCCGTCTCCTAGTTTCACCCTGTATATATTTTTAAGCCGTTTACGAGTCGGGACCCATTAATTGCCGTATGTTGCTCAAGCTAATCTGCCTTCCGCACCGACGCTGGTTCGTAGTGTGTGTGTGGTCGCTTTGACGGTCGCCACTGTTCGGGCGTTGTTGATGAGGAGCAAGCGCGGTATTAAAATATTTACATGGACCTTCGCGGCTAATAACTCGCGTGATTGCCAAACTCAGTGATAGTAATTTTTGTTTAGAATGATGAAAGTGCAAAAAGGGGTGGTTTTCTCATACGTTTTGTTGCCGATAATTTGTCGATCGTTGATTATATATCTCTGTCCTCGTTTGCCCGTCAATTATCTCTTGCATTACATCGACCATTTAATTAAAACTCCAGGACTTATTCTCTTTTTAATAGTCAAAAATGTTTTTTTTTTAAGTCATCGTACACACACCGTCCGAGATGTGCTTACAATGGTACATTTTTCAGGAGACAGCAGCTGACTTCTACTTTGCCATGTTTGCACTCCATGTATACACATCCTTGATATGTTGCGCAAGTATACTTGAACTGAAAGTTCCACAAAAAACAACTAATTTTAATTTACTATCAATGCTCTAACATGGCTAAAGCTAGCTGCTGCCCATGGTGACGCGTGGAGTGTTCAACTGATCGGTTGTCGAGAAATATTTATTGACGTAAACGTTCTTATAAAGTTTATAATAAGGTTTGTAATCGTGATACGCAAGATAAATAAGGTGTGAAACTCATGAGAGAACGATGAAACTATCCCTTTCCTTTAACCTTCACATTCTGCCACACAGGAAAACTCTATGCAATCTGTACCCTTTTTCCCAGCATTCTACGCGTGCTTACATGAGGTTGCAATATTTAGCACCAATAAAGTACACTAACTTTTAGTGTTATAATGTGAAGGCTGCCTTATCTCCGGCAGTACTCCAACGCTATCAAAGCTTCTTCGCACGAAACCACATGTGAATAAGACAAGATGAAGCCACTGGCTCTCACAGCAATATGATACCAAGTTGATACCAAGTATCGGTCGGTGCAGCAGATAGGTACACAGAACAAAACTTGTTCAACACTTGTCCACTTGAAACACAAGTCGCCACTAAAACTACTAGTCTGTGCATAGGCGTAGACTTCGGGGGGGGGGGGGGGGGGGGGGGCATCGGGGTTTGTGCCTCCCCCAGTGAGATCCAGGGGGGGGGGGGGCAGAGACCCCCGGGCACGGGCCGTAATTCTTACCGAGACACTGTTTACGTGCCTTGTAACGAGCTTCTAGTAGTGGCATGTAAACAAAATAACGCCCACATTACCTTAATTGACAAAGTACATTGGAAATGGAATCCCAGCGTGCTTTCGTTAGCTTCGATCTTCAGTTCTGGCGAAGAGGTAACGGGCAACAGCGCCCCCCCCCCCCCCCTCCCCCGAAGAACTTCTCACCTGCCCCCCCCCCCCCCCCCCCCCGGGAAAGTGGAAAGTCTACGCCGCTGAGTGTGCAAATATTGGACATTAATCTTAAACACTATCTGCATTACATTTGAACCCTTTTACAGCTGAAAGCAATAAAAGGAATAAAGTTGTTTTCGCAGAACAGTTCTGTGCAGTGTAAACAGATCGGTGTATGTGATCACTCGCTTCAAACTAAAAGGCGCCTAGAAATAAAGTTGGCAAGGACTTCTTCCTGACTTATATATGCGCAGAGGTGACATCTTGTGGTTTTCTGAAATCTAGGTGAAATTATAGAAAATTACAAATACATTACTATTTGTCCGGACTATAGTATGCGTTATGAATCCGTCACGACCCTCTATAAATTGTCATTCTTGCGCATAAAGTTAGTGTATAAGTTGCACCTTTGTATAAGGCGCGCTTATGTATTTTTAAGGTGCAGGAGACGCCCACACCGGTGACGATACCTCTCTTTCCATCTTCGTACCACTTAATGTAATGCTGGACGAAAAGCGAGATCCATCGGTCGCAATCCACTTCGGTTGGATGCCCAGGTGGAAAATGAGGAAGTCGCTACTGACAGAAACTCATGTTTTCATGGAAGTATTTCTGGAACCTCTGCATCTTGAGACCAGATCCCAGGTACACTTTGTCCCTGACTTTCGTCTCGAGGAGGTACAGGACTTACAGGTGTTTTACACTTTCGCTCATTATGCTTCGACAGAAACCTCAGGCTCCGGCACGGTGGTGCCGGAGCTAACCAGATCGCAAGCCACTGGACCCGAAACAGTCAGAACGTTCTATGCAATTTAGGGAAGGAGAAGAGGAGAGAACAGGTCGACAGGACACCTTGACGACACGGGGACATTGGGCGAAAAACTTCGCAGTTTTCCTTGTCGGCCCGTTATCAACCGTGTAGATGGCTGAGCCCACCTGCCTCTGAATATTCTGATGCAGCGAGGACTTAAGCTCTAGCTGCTCCTGTAGCAAGGCTTGTTGATCTTTAACACTTGTCCAAGGGTAAAGGAAGCTGACTTCTGTACACACCTTGCAATAGAGTAAGACTTTATTCGTCCTTGATACTGCTTGATCACTCTTCGGATATGCTGGTGCACTGTTGCCGTTGAGACACGAGGCTCGGGAGTTCCACAGCCAGTCGCGAGAAGACATGTTTGACTACTTTTGCCTTAGCAGGAACGCATAAATCTTTCGTGTAGCAGTATGGCGAATAATACTGCACACTCCCAAGCACTTCATGACACCTCCGCAAATGACAGTGCTTTACTACAGCAAAACGGAC